ATGATTGGATCTACGGCTGTGAGAAGCCATCCTATGTAGCTCGCAGGGTCTTTGAGGCACGCAAGCCACCACACCACGTCAAGGTGCAGTCTCGTCGTGATGGACTGATGAAAATCACTAGCTAACAGTGGCTAATTCAACCAGTCATTCTGCAGATACCTTTTCTCGCATTCTCTTTTCAAGTAAATAGAAGACCTTTTTCAATGCGATTTCAGTCGCCTTCTATTTTATTACCAGAATCCCTTTCAGGATGGGAAAACATTATCGAAGGAAAGTATTTGGAAGTTACGTTTCGAAACAAGCGTGGATAGGACAATTTAGATACACAAAAGAAAAATAAATGTTTTGCATTAATACAAGGACTAGATGAAGTGCTGACAGGATGAAAGATACGATGTTTTAAGAGACATGGCCGGGTGCAGAAAATTAGGCCTGGTTAGAAGATTCCCTCCGAAGTGTTTGCTTTCAAGGGAATAAAACTATGTAATATTTCGGAGTTCTGTGCTGACGATCGAACGCACATGTAAGGTAGTGCGTGTGACAAAACTAACGTCCAGGAAAATCAACAGACATTAACGAAGGCGGTAGTTTACACATTATTTATACATACAACAAATGGTAATTTTAAATGAGTTTTAGCGTCGGTTAAGGCAATGCTTAACCGTGCAATGGCTTTCATTGGGTTACGGATAACATTTAGCCAGCTAAGGAAGAAACTAGTCAAATTAAGGCAAACTGAACAAGTAAACGCGATAAACACGAAGAATGGTAATAGAACAAACGCGTCAGCATCACTGATTACGGTAGTTATTCACCCCGTTGTTTTTTGATTCATCCACTCGATATCAAAAATCATGAAAACTGAGCTGGTCAAAGATTTACATTTGCACCTGGTCACAACTGGTCTTTTTCCAACTACTAATAATATCGAGTAATGAGGAAGCCAATCCGGTGACCCGAAAAATTTTCTTCAAATCCATGTTCAGCCCTTATTGCGCCAATAAGTTGTCTTCACAACCATCGCCTTCGAGCTTTCGTACTCCGGATTCCGTTTATAACGAAAATGACTATGAACCCCATCGACACATTGAGAGGGAATGGTTGAGCGATAAAAAACATAAAGAATCGCAATGCACCGTATGTGTGCAGAAGGGGTGTGAATACACAAGTACCGTTTTCTGGAACATCTATTAGATTAGTGCAATGTTTCTATTTGGTTAAACTGTTGTGGAACATCGTTAACAGGCACCGCGGAAGCAACAGAGCCCTCGGGTTGAAAAATGACAATCAACTCACTGCAGATATGCCAAACTTCACTCAAGATTTGTCTACCCGGAGAGACGCGGTATAAAAGGTGGCCAACTTAATCAACTTTTTCTATCGATTATTCAGTTGGAGACACTGTTGGAAAAGTAATGCATACCGATGTGACAGTGTGTATGAAATGATAATACAAGTAGAGAAATAAAATGCGGAGCACTTGGGAGACACTTACGTGGTCCTTGAAGGAATCCACAATAAACTGAAGATGGTCCGCAGGTACTAACTGCACACACCTTTGAACCACATGGTTCCCATTTTGATCTTTTACACATTTTATTACACAACCGTCCAATTCCTTAATAATCGAAACTTGCATATCTGGGGAAACCCATTCGATTGCTTTCTGAATGACCCGACAACCATACATTTGCAAGGAAAGAGAAACCACTTGGCCGCGA